ACGCACGAAATCCAAGTTTCGCCAACACCTCTTGGAGCTTCTTGTTCCAGCAGCGTGCGGCCTGCCGTAGACCGTAGATGCTACGCTTCAGACGGCAGACGAACTCCTCCTGCCCCGGCAGCTCGTAGCCAGGAGGTTGGCGCATGTACAGTTCCTCATCCAGCTCCCCGTTGAGGTATGCTGTCTTAACGTCAACATGCCGCACAACCATCTTCTGCTTCACAGCTACCGCAAGGAACGTACGAAGCGTCGCTTGGTGCGTCACTGGAGCGAACACTTGGTTAAAGTCCACTCCGAACTTTTGCGCAAATCCTTGCGCCACTATTCTTGCCTTGTATTTCACTACTCGTCCCAGTTCGTCCTTCTTCACTTTATACACCCACTTGGAGCCTATCGCCCTCTTTCCCGGAGGCAATGCAACCAGCTCCCAAGTGTCATTTCGCCGATGGGACTCAAGTTCATCAGCCATAGCGTCTCTCCACTCACGTTTCTGTTTCGCTTCACTAATGTCCGTCGGCTCTTCGACCGCACACGCCGCGATACCCACAGAAAAGTCTAGCACATAATCGTTCAAATATTTGGGGATTGCCCCACGGTTTTGGCGTGAAGATTGACGAACTGGGAGTTGCACTCTGTTCTCGGAATTGTCACTGAACGAATCGTATTGGCTTTGTTCATCATCACTTCTTTCCTCTTCTTCTTGCTGCGACGGATCTTCTCCGCTTCCTTCTTCTTCATCACTGATCACTGGTTTCTCTTCTTCCTCTTCTTCAGCAGATCCACGTTTTTCAGGAACGGAAACAGCAACCGGAATCTCCGACGACGATGACCCATTGCCGAGCTCAACGAATCGAGCATCGCGGCTCACAATGATACGGTCCGTTTCACGATCGAGGAATCGATATCCTTTGTGCTCCATGGAATATCCTACGAAGAGCATCTTCCGGGCTTTGCTCTCCATCTTGCTTCGCTTGGTTTCCGGAATGTGCACAAAAGCTTCAGCGCCAAACACTCGAAGGTGGCTGAGATCCGGCTTCCGACCCCACCACAGTTCGAAGGGCGTCTTCGTGAGTGTCCTTGACGGGAGTCGATTCTGGAGGTACGTAGCAGTGAGCACCGCTTCACCCCAGTACCGCTTCTCCAGGTTGGCGTCGATCAACATGCAGGTCGCCATCTCGGTGATCGACCGATTCTTCCGCTCGGCCACTCCGTTGGATTGCGGAGAATATGCGGTTGTGTATTGTGGTTTTATTCCCTCCTCCTTATAAAACCGTCTCAACTCGGCATTATCGAACTCGCCGCCACCGTCAGACCTAACTACGCGCGGCTTGCGCCCTGTTAGAGTCTCAACCCAACGAACATAGTCTTTAATATTGCCCGCCGCTTCGGACTTGGCCTTGAGCAGGTATGTTACGGTAAACCGACTATAGTCATCAATAATATGCATGACATAGCGGTTGCCACTCGGGGTCTCGTTTTTCATCGGACCGCAAAGGTCTGTGTGAACGATGTCGAGAATTTGGTTCGATTTTCGTTCAACGACCGCAGGGAAGGGGGCGCGGGCAGACTTTCCCTCCATGCAACACTCACATACAACTTTCAATCCACAGTTGCTTACCCTAATTCCGGTTGCAAGCTCCTCCTTCAGCAAACGCTCCGCAGCCGCCCAGTCGCGATGGCCCAATCGTCGGTGCCACTGGTGCTGGCAGTTTTCCAGATGCTGCCCAGCCGTAGCATTCATCGACGAATGACCGAGACGCAGTCGATACAGTCCGCCGGTGCGAACTCCTGTCGCCACAACGGTACCTCTTCCATCGCAAATCTTACACAAATCCTCTTCGAACAACACTTTCAGGTTCTTCTGTGCCAAGCGCCCCACGGAAATCAGGCTCGTCGCGAGACCCGGCACGTATTTCACTTCGGCCATTGTGATTTTAAAATGTTCACCTTCATCATCAATGCCGTTTAGCACACCACACCCTTCACCACGAATCTGGGTTTTCTCACCGTTTGCCATGGTGATCCACCCTCCGGCGAATTCCCGCAGCGTACCGAAGAACGACTTGTCTCCGGTCATGTGTGTGCTGGCACCACTATCGATTACCCAGGCGGACGAGCCAGCTTCTTCGCCCAACGTAAAGGCCACTTCTTTTTCGCCGCCCTGGGCGGTCTTCGCTTTTGCCCCCTCCTTCTTGGAATTTTCCGCCTTCTTCAGCGCCAGAAACTTTCTGCAGTTCCGGCGAATGTGGCCCGGCAACTTACAAAAGTGGCACGTTCTCGAATCCGGTTCCTTCTTACCTTCGGAAGATCGCATCGCCTTCTCCGTCTTGCTGGAGGAACCATCCCTCTCCATGCGCCGGAGGTACTCATCCGTCAGTTTAGATTTCACCACGTCCATAGAGATATCGTCATCGGAACGACCATCCAACGCAGAGACGATTCCATCGAACGACGGCGGCAAGCTTCGCAGGAGCATGCAAATCTTCGTATCTTTATCGAGCTCCGTGCCTGCAGCATCGAGCCGATCAAACAGCTCGTCAATTTCACACAAATGCCGATCCAGATCGCCGCGCTCCGGAAGATTCATCGCGCACAATTTCTTTAGGAGGGACACACGCACAGACCGACTCGTTTTCTGGTGGTACGCTTTCAACGAGTTGTAAACATCGCGCGCGGAAGCACTGTTCTTCACCAGCGCGAGCTGGCTATCTTCTAGCAATAGCACGATGGTTGCTTTTGCCTTTCGGTCGGCGTTCTTCCAGCGAGCATATTCCACCACTTCGTTTTCATCCGGAGGGTCGTCTTCGATAACAAACCACAGGTCTTCACGACACAGCAGCATTTCGACGCGAATTTTCCAGGTCTGCCAGTTCTGTCCGCTCAACTTCGGAATAGAGAACCTGGCATCGACCATTTTCGCGAATTTCACTTTCACTTGCCGAACGTAAACAAAGTCTTCTTCTTGTCTCGGCGCCGGCACCGCACGTTTGCTCTACGTTCGTCACGAAACGTCTTCCACCCGACCGACGGTGGGAAATCAAAACAACGCTCACCAACACACACAGCCGCTCGAGCAGCGGGCAGTCTTCGCGCGGTCTTTTCGTCTTTTTTCCACTCCTCGCACACACGGCGGAACAGCAGCAATGGCGGCTCGGCCAGCCAGAACTTTTACAATTCACTTTTCCGATTCCCGACGCGGCTTGACCACTGGGCCCATAACCTGATGGACAGAATCAGGTGTCAGTGGAACGGGAGGGTCACCGGGAATTCGGAAGCACAGTGGAAATAACTTTACACACGCGGAATACTTTGTAAAAAGGTATTTAATCGGGAGAAAGAATACAACACGTTCTATGCGCGATGAGCGATCAGTTTACACTGAAAGTAAAATGCTAACAACATTACCTTGATGTCACCGGCTCTTGGTTCCCAGGGGTGGGCGATGTGGAGTAGGTTTAGGAAAGGGCGTAACCATTGGATCTCCACAAGAACAACGGTCCCAAGCAGTCCCAAGCTATTTCACTCACCCCTGCATGTTCTGCATGAATCCACACACCCCTGATGTTATCTGTCAAACTTTCATAGCGAATCAAAACAAACATAGTGTAGTAATAGAATTTCAACTAGAATAGGGTACGTTAATCGTTTGCTTGGGACCAATAGGCTACTAAAGTGGTGAGCCAATTTAAAATCGTTAGTTTCGTATTGATTGTTGCCGGTGAGTATTTTGACATGTCTACGAATCCCTAATAAAAATTGTATGGTTAATTTGCTTAACGACGTGTTCTGGGTATCATCCAAACCATTTGTGGAATAGTTCAATGATTTGGGCTATCGTTCGTTTATGGTTATTTTTTATTAGGGATAGCAACCTTTCTCTCGCGCTGCTAAATTTGGTAACGCGCTTCTCACCGAGAAACCGACTGCTATTTTAGTTACTCGTATGGCAACCCCCGATACGGTAGCTGCGCTATGATGAGGGCTGCTAAAATGAGTTTAGCAGCGTACCGTTACGGTTGCTCTAAGTATGCTGCAGTTGCTAAATATAAACAGCTTTTCTTTTTTATTTGATTTGTTTTTCCGTCGATCTTGTTTTCCGTACTAATGCTACCGACGCAAGACAGGCAGCTCCCTCACCTGGACCCTACTTATCGACCTATCAACTCATGAACTAAGGACCAACGGCTTTACTTCCCTTCCGAAGGATGGCGAGATCAGTGATTTTATGCCTCAGATAGTCGATCTTGAAAATCCTGAAATTAAATTTCAATTCTGTTTGTCGCAAAAAAAAAAAACAAAACATAAAAATAATCGCCATGTATTGATTCAATAAACATATTTTTATTTCTACTGCGTGAATTGTCAGACTTATAAAATAAATATGATTGAATCAACGAGAAATCTCTTATAAAAACAAACATATTTTTTTGTTGACCCAGCTGCCAAATTTGACAGCTTACGTCAGAACCATGAAAGCTCTTGTAAATTCGAAAAGATTTTCCTTTTTGAATTAAAAATCCATGGATTTTAAGGAACAAAAATACTGGATTGTTGAAACAATAATGATTTCTTTTTGCAGCCTAAACAAAATGAAATTCTTATTGATTTTACGTCAAATATTATTACGTTTGAAATATTTTATTCTGCGTGTATAAGGAGATTTCTATCCGTGTATAAGCTATATCTTTTAGTGAGCAATTTCATCGTGAAAACATGTATATTTTACTGAATTTTCTCATAGTGCAAATTTATACGATTTTCCATTAGTTTCTAGATGTCTGTTTTTTTCTGTGTACATAGTAGATCGTTGTAAAATTTAATTTGAAAAAAAAATCCTCCGCCCAAATTCTTACGTAATTATTGAATGTCCCCTTAAACCAAAGAGAAAGTCGATTGAGAGAATCGATCATCGAAGATAGGCCCTTTTCAAATGTTACGCGAGAGTTATCAAGTCAAACAACTTGACAGCAGCAGTTGTCATTTCTATTTTACAGTTTTTATGCAGTTTATTCGTGAATCATAATAATTTGATTAATTTATTCAGTATATTCTGTGGATTCTGTCCATGTTTTAAATGTTATAGTCTTCAAATACCGTGTACTACTTCGTGTGACTAAGGGACATATTGATAAGTGACAACATGAGAAGTGTTAAATTGGCGTAAAGCGGAATGTTCAGTGTACATGTTTACTATGTGTTTACATATTGTGCAAAAGTGTAACAATCAGTAATACACCAAAAAATACTGCGAAGCAGACGATTATACTAAAAATAAACGTAAACAAGCACTATCACACGGAAAATACATTTGTTCAAAATGGATAGCATGGCTTATGTTGAAGAATATCGCGAATTTTTAGATTATTTTAAAGCTCACGTCGATCCAAATGACCAACTTCCGGTACGAGTTCCCGGCTACAATCTCCTGGAGTCGGAAATAGATGGAGAAGTTATCAACTGGGTACTACAATATTTACTGCAAATGTAAGTTTCTCCCCATCTTCGGATATAATTTATGGAGTCGTTTTTGATTCCTGACGGGCAATTCAAGATTATTAAAACCTGTAATTTCAAGGTTTGTAAGTGCCATCAGGTGTTTCATGATAATATTATTATTGATCTCTACACGGTGTTTCGCGAAAACCCATTAATGGGTATAAAAATACCCCTTTCCGCTAAAAGTGCCCCTCCTCGATTTATTGGTAAACTATGATTTACTCATTAATGGGTAAATGGGTGGCCTGTCAATGAATGGGTGTTTTTTACCAATTTTCTTAAATTGTGTATACCGTAAAATGGGTGAAAAATACCCATTTTTTCCAAATGTAGGATGCAAGCGCTTGGTTATTTCAGGCATAACATTTGATAACGGCACAAAAGCATTTGTAAACTAACTTTCGCAAAGGTGATAGTTACCCCTATCTGATGATGTTGTTGGTTTGCGTGGGCGTACTTTGGTTCGCGTGTAAAGGGCCTTAGAAAGTTTGTTTACGAATGCTTTTGTGCCGTTATCAAATGTTATGCAAACGATACCTACACAGAAATTCAAAACAACCCAAAATTAAGTTCTTTTCACTCATCTCCCATGTTCCGTACAATAAGCCAAATTTGGGTAAACCGGCTCAAAGTAGTTTGCATTTAAGCACGGCAAAAAAAATTACCCATCGCTAAGTAATTTTCAATTTTTTCTACCCAAAATTAAGTTCAATTAACTCAAATTTGGGTATATCGCATATTATACTCAATTTTGGCTTCTTGTACGGAACTAGACGGTTGAGTCGAATCTTTCGTTCTATTTTTGACAACAATAGCGAGAGGAAATGAAACGGACAGAGGTCAAATAACTCAAATTTGAGTTTAAAAAACCCAAGCGGTGGGTAGTTTTGTTTTTCTGTGTACACTGTAACTGGAAAGTACCCATTAATGGGTACAATCTCACCCATTTTGAAGTAAAGTAGGTTAACCTATTTAATGGGTAAAAAAAAACCATTAATGGGTATCTAACACCCATAAATGAGTAATTGTTACCCATTAGTAGGTACACGTTACTGATTAATTGGTAATTTGTTTGCCCATTTAATGGGTTAACCCACTTTACTTCAAAATGGGTGAAATTGTACTCATTAATGGGTACTATAATGTTGGAGTGTACGGTAAATGGCTCAAGTTTGTTGGGGAAAAAGTGATTTTTCGTATGGTTAAGATACAAAACAACCCACTTGTTCTATTGTAGATTTCCCATTTACCATAGATTTTATTGTGGAAATAAATTCTATGGTTATTTTATTGTTGTAGACAGTACGATGTATTGTGAATTCAACAAATTCTATTGTATGGCTACAATACATTTCATTGTACCTCTAGAGTCCTTTTTTACGGATAGCTACACCGCAAAAACGAAAACGACATATGAGTGAATCTGTTTTTGATTCTGAATTGACAGTAGCGCAGTAGCATTTAACTCATTTTGAACTTTTGAGTGACTTTTATTGGTAATGGTAAACCAGCAACACTGTAACGAAAGAAAAAATAGAATAAAACGAGTTTGTGTGCGAAGCTAAACTAAGCTAAAACAGGCCTGATAGGACTAGGAACTGTAATTAATAATAATTGAAATTTCACAGGAACTAAAGTTGAAAAGACGCATCTGTGTCACTTGATAAGTTATACATGTAAACCACACAAATTCAAGAAATATAGATCATTTAAAGTCAAAAGCAGACGATTATACTAAAAATAAACGTAAACAAGCATTATCACACGGAAGTCCATTGTTTTCGTTCTTGGATGTTAGCCAAACCCGAGGCCAAACCATCAATTTTTCTTGCCGTAAAAAAGTTTGAGCTATCGTTGGAATTTTTTTGGTCCGTTCTCCCTGATCACCGGAGGAATTTTGTATGGTTTCCGGCATTCGTGAAGTGTGTGACTAGCACCGTGTGTTAATATCGGCGCAAGACCAAAAGTGGTGGTGGTTCTTTGCCACCGAGTGTGTGCCCTGGCACAAAATTGATCTCCATCTTGGCGAAAAGTCGGCAGACGTTGCTGCTCGACTTCCCTTGTGATGTGACCAGCACAGTGGCAGGCGCGTAGACAACATGTCACACCATGACAGTGGGCCCAGCACAGCAAAATAAATAATTTGAGCCCGGGACATGCTGCCTACTGTCAAACGCTGCTGTTGACATAGACCTTGTCACTAGCCTGGATGTGACGCAATTGTGGCGTATAGACTTTCTAGCGGCTTCGCCACCAAGTGCGTGCCCGTGGCACAAGTGTAGGGACGGTCACCATCTTGGCGGAAAACGTGGAGTCGAGCGAGGGGCACGCAATACAAATAACCGATGCGTTGAAGTTAAAATGCAATCAAAAGTACTTAAAGTAATTAATGCGTTTTGAAGTAGTACTGACGGTAATTAAAATTATCTATCCGTATTTAATGTAATTAAAAGTATTGAAAATGTAATTAATGTACCTTAATTACGAAATTTCAACTGTAATTAATGGAGTTAAAAATTAGTTAATGTTCTACATTGTATAATTAATGTAATCAAAGCAGTAGTTAATGGAATTAATTTAATTACAGCCGTTGCCTGCGTTGGAGTTAAAGGTTATTGCGTGCCCCTGTGAAAAGTTACGCCATTTTGTGCCGTGTGAACTGCAATGTCATGCCCTGCGGGTAACAAAAACAATAACATTTAAACGTTTGTGATTTGGTTTACCAACAAAGAGGCAGAAGATAAAGTGAATGAGTGAAAGTGATACACTTTGTGGACCATCGAGTCGAGTTCCAAGGAGGAATATCCTCGACGCTCTCACAGGGTCGAAAAATACAGAAGCGGATAAAGTGCCTACTATTGCCCAGAAAAAAACCGCTCAACAGGAAATCGAAAGACAACGAAGGATGGAATTCAACCTGGAAGCCTTGCTGGATTGGCAGTCGTTGCTGCTCGACAAGCTTTTACGGATGAATGAGTCTTTGCAAGAGAGACCATCAGCGTTCACCTGCTCAGGCTTCATCTGGAGACTTTGCGGCGAACTGCAAATGATTTTGAGAAAGCGTACTCCGAAATTATTATCCAGTTGCCCAAAAATAAGCAAAGATAATCGTGGAAAATCTCTTTCCAAGCTAGTTGAAGTTTGCAAAAAACATGCTGATGTCCTTAGCGGCCATGGATTCCCTGTTGAGGGTTTAGCCGAACTTGTGCTGGTTAATGTTCTGTACAAAAATCTTGATAAGGAAACCCAAGTGCAATGGGAATCGAAGTTGGGAAACGGAGAGCTACCCGATTTCGAAGAGTTTATGGATTTCTTGTGCGAACGATTACGTGTTTTGCAGAGAAAAAACCGCGCACATCAGCAGCCGGTGCAGCAATCAACAGCAGCTCCAAACAAACAGCGCCAACCATTGGGTCAGAAGTCGTATCCCCCTTTCAAGTCGTTCCTACAAGTCGCAAACGAGGCGTGTTCGTGTTGTAAAGCAGAGCATTCAATCAATCGCTGTGAAAAATTCCAGAATATGTCGCTCCAAGAAAGGAAGGCCGTTGTAGCGAAGTCAAATTTGTGCTTCAACTGTCTGAAGGCGAACCATCGTGTCGTAAATTGTCCGTCGGGGATAAGCACCACAGCTTGCTGCACTACACGGATGCTCCCAGCTGTACAGTTCCAGAGAAGAAGGAAGAATCAAACAAAGTTCATGCAGCAGAACCCGCAGCGCAACCTCAAAATCAGCAGAATGTTCGTGAGCAGCAGCGAAGTGTAACTGCTTTGTGCGCCAACATTGGTGGTGACAAGCATCAAATCGTGTTGTCCACGGCTCAAGTGATGAAGGGAAACACAACTGTGAAGTGTCGAGCTTTGTTGGACTCCGGATCCGACAGCAGTATTATCACCGAGAAGCTGGCTAGCAAACTGCAGTTGAAATTCGATCCAGTGGACCTGCCGATCAGCGGTTTGAACAATATCGAAACCCGAGTAAAGTATCTGCTGTCGACAAAGTTCGTTTCTTGCACTAATTCTTTCGCCTCATCCATTTTTGCGCTTCCCAAATTGTTTTGTGTTGGCTGAAGAAATCTCTGCTAGCACTGAACCAATTCGTCGCCAACCGTGTTGCCGCGATAGTGGAACTGACCCAAGATTACCAGTGGGGATACATTCAATCGGACGACAATCCAGCAGATGTAATTTCAAAAGGTGAATTGCCACAGGATTTGCTTCAATGGAAACTATGGTGGAATGGTTCTCCGTTATTATGGAATTCACATCCAACATCGAGTGATCCTGAACTTATGCAAGAATCAGCTATTCCTGAGGTGAAGTCGGTAGTAGTGTTGACAGTCATGAAATGTTGTCTGGCTATAGTACTTGATAGACTCGGCAACAACATACAAATGCAGAGAGCGTGGGTGTACGTAAATCGTTACATCGATATCAAGGTGCATAAGAAACAAGGCTTCGGTGACATCTCAGCGGACGAAATCAAGAAGGCAGAGGCATCAATCTTGTCAGTCCTCCAGCGTGAATGTTTCGGCGATCTGCGTAAGGCGTTGCAATCAAATTCCATTCAACGGCATCCATAGCGGAACCTGGCACCGTTCCTGGGAGACGACGGCTTTATCCGAGTCGGAGGCCGTTTGAAATATTTGGCCATTCCTTATGATGGCAAACATCAGGTGTTGTTACCGGAGAAGCATCACGTCACGGAGGCAATCATACGTGGACTGCATTTTGAACATTTTCATGTTGGACAGAATGGATTGTTAGCTATCGTACGCGAACGTTACTGGCCGCTGCGCGTAAGGTTGGCAATCAAGAAAATCGTTTCCAAATGTCAGGTGTGTGCTAGGCAGCGTCCTATACCAGGTGTTCAGTTCATGGGAAATCATCCGGGGTCTCGAGTCAATCCAGCGCCACCATTCTCCAAGGTTGGTATTGACTATGCTGGTCCATTTATGTTGAAACAAGGAGGTCGGAGTACGAAGCTGTAT